CAACATTTAGCGCACTTGACAACAATGCGCGTGTCTCGTGACATTGAGGGCACACGTGTCCCGAAGATTGCCCAATGTCACACGTGCTGAGTTTCAAGTTACAATGAAATTTAGGAAATGTTTTTCTATTCGATTGTTTTCGGATATCTGACAGTGTCGAAATGTTCTCGCATAAACAGACTCGCCGCGTTCTTGCTAGCTAAGACCTAAGGTCACTCATTTCGCTTTCCGAAGTTCAATATTTTTCTTAAAATTATAGACTTTGAATTTTTCACGAACTGATGACATTCACGAGATTCTCTGAATCTCGAACAGTAATAATTATAAGTAATATTACTTTTTTATAATTATAAAATAGATTTTAAAAATTTGAGTAAATGATTTTTGACATATATAAACCATGTAATTTTAATTAAATATAATATTTATTAGAAAAAATTGTCTTATATAAGAAAAATATGAATGTATTAAAAAAGAAAGCCAAAATAAGGAATTTAAAATTTTGAAACTATTGTTAAGATATTATTATAAAATATGTTAATTTAATTAATTAACATTTATTAAAATTCATTTTTAATAGAATATATTTCTCTTGCTATAGTTGTATTAGTTAATAAGTTTCATTCTGTTGATTATTTAAATAGCACAAAATTGATTTGTTATCGTACTTCTTTAAAATGCTTTAAAATAATAAATGCAATTTCTTCGGGTGTTTAAATAAAGGAAAATCGATGACTAAATTCAAATTAATTAAATGTATATGCTTTTATGAAATAATCTTGTATAAATAGAAAGGAAGTATTTGAAGAGCTATTATAATGGATAAATCAAAGTATCCAAAGGATGAACTACTGTCGAAAAAGAAGAAAACCAGTTGAAGGATTGGCGCGCAGAAGCGAACACATTAAAAACCGGTCAGTAATCATACTGAGAAGGAGATATATAAAAATGAAAAATAAAAACAGCATCGGTAAAACATTGCTAGGAGCTATAAATGTAGCAACAGCATATAGTTTAGCGCTGGGTTTAATGTATTATGCTGGTTTCTTTATAAAAATTTTTCATGACTCCATTTACAGTTCAATGTTAGATGTATCAAAATTTTATTTGTACATAAGTCAACTTTTGATTATAATATAAAATTTATCTGATTACTTTCAATTTTTACATTCCCGAGATCGAATAAAACTAATTTTAATATATAAACTACTTACAACAATGCGAGATTTATTAAAAACTTAAACATTTCGTTTCTTTCTAGAAAAAAAATGTTACTAGACAGAAATAAAAAAGGACGTTTAATTCAATCCGACATTTAAAAAAGATAAATAAGCCGCACTGTAAAATAATACTTAATTGACAAATCTATATCACAAGAAATTGAAGGTACTATATTCCATTTCATAATTTGTTGTATATTATTTACGATATAGTTTCATATTTATTAATTTATTATAACATAATTTTATTTAAGCATATTACAAAATAATAGCGCTTCTTAATAACAATTTTATTTTTAACCCGAACACGTATTATCCATATCCCATTATGTTAAGTCATAAAATATAATAATTTGTATATATTACATACATTCATGAAATTACGCACAATTTTGAAGTAATTTTTATTATTTAAATAAGATTATTATTTTACAGTAAATATGAAATATTTGTATTAAAAATCGATGATATATTTTTATAATTTTTATTACCTTAAGATTTTAAATATTCGATAGAATTTGAGAAATTCATGTATAATAAGAAAGTGTAAGTACTAATTATAGATTTTTATCGATTTATACAAGCTAAGCTTCAATTTCATATATCGGTGTAACGACCGAAGCAGTCAATGGATTTTTCAGCATAAAAATTGCGTGATAATATCCGTATGATTTAAAAGTTCCCTTCATCGATGAAAAATGAACGCCCCAGCAAGGTGCAATTTTCGGCAATAACTCATTTCACCATGTATTCCGAGCTTCCAAAAGTTCATTCAACTGTGCCTTAATGGTAAAATCGTTCGGTGCCTCTCTTTTTTAGCTTCGTTTGTTGTCTTGGTAACTTTTTTCGCCCTCGACGATCGGAATACGCAAACGATTGTATTTTTTAAATTTTCGTGTTTTTTTCCTCTCATTTCTCAAGCGATCGGATATTTCCTGATACAATCTCATACGGGGCTTATGGGAACCCCATCGCTTTTTGTCGAATATTTTTTATTGTTTATTTATTTTTTCTTCATCTTAAACAACTACATCAAATTTTATTTTATTTTAATTTTCGTAGTAAGCATTATTGTATGTGAAAAACGGTGTGATCAACATAATCTTAAGACTTTTAATTTACTTAAGAATATTAATTGTATATATTATTAATAATGAAATAATGAAATACTGAAACATTTATCTTGTGTCAGGTTGAAAAATTATAGTAAATACATTCTTTAATTATATCATCAAAAGACATAAAAATTAATGTTGTTGTTTAAATATGAAATAATGAAATTCGATAATTTTTACACAAATATATTAGAAATTATTGAAAAAAAACTGCTTCGTTTAAAAATGAAATTCTTAAAATTAAGATAATCATAGATTTATAAAAAAATCTATTATAATTATAAATTTTATAATAGTGCATCAAACTGTTTTCCATAATTACATAAACTATTAATTGTCGTGTAAATGTTAATCGATAATGTCAATATATTTATTTCTGCCATATTCTTAATATATTCTTAACAGTGAGTTAAGTAAAATGTAATAATAATTTAACGACAATAATTTTATAATATATATTTCAATATATATAATTTTTTTAACCTATTTTACCCTATTGAATCCATAATTTGAATTGATTCTTTTATATACATTATATTCAGAAATTAATGAAGAGCTCATCTTCATCCATATCAAGTATATCAATATATATTATTCAATATTTTACATAAAATGCATATCACTTTAGTTAAATTGTTTACAAATTAAACTCAACTTTATTTTATTCAATAATGTACACTGCGATATAAATCAATTTATGCGTTAAAATTAATTTCTAGTGCCACTTCACTGACTGAATTTTTGCGTATTTATTATTGATAGAATAAAAATCCCGATCTTTCGTTTGTAAATATGTATGTTTATTTGAAGTGTGTGTAATTATTTACTTAATACGAAATATTAGAACAAGTATTAAACAAATCAAATGTGAATTAAAATTCGGACATTTATTATACATCCATAAAATCAATATGAAGTTCCTTTATGAAATTTTTAATAATTAAAAACTAATTTATTTTAATAAATTAATAATTTATAAATATTTCATAACTAATTTAAATATCATTAGCGTATTGAGCATTAAGTGAAATTATCGAGCATTTTAATAAGAGCATCGTTTCTGTAATTTTAAAAATAAATATTTTATCAATAAAAAGCAAAAATTTATTATTTAAATTACATCAAATATTATTATTTCAAAATATTAGATAAACATTTTGTGTATTAAAGGATAAAGAAAAAAAGAAGACAAAAAGTACTATTATGATTTATGGTAAATATCAAACATGAGTACTTTATAAGACTTTTAATATACTTGTTAAAGCCAATCTAAATTTATTTCTTGTTATATCGACAACATATTCTTTACATTATATTAAATCACAGTACAATATTCTTACTTTTTATTGAATAATCCTGTTTGAATAACCTGTGAAACGTTTGTCATTAAATCAATATCGACTGATTGTTGGTTACTTCTCTTTTTTCTTTTACTTACTTTAAGGGTAAAATTAACTGCCTTTCTTGGGTCTATCTAAATATAAGCATTGACAGACAATTTGATCGACTGTACTTTGCTTATCCAGTTTACCAATCCATAATACAAGTACACATTCGGAGAATCATCTTAGGCATGTTTGTACTTGTATATAAAATAGTTTATTTATGAATTGAAATGCTCATATATGCATATAAAGATTCTTTTCCGAACTGGATTATTAGTATTTAACTTATACGGAATATTATAAGGTGATCAGTTTTGTATTATTTTAATTCAATCATTTATTTATTTATTTTTTTTTATTTTTTCAAATGTTTTTTTTTCAAATGAAAAATTATACAACATCGTGGCCTTGTAAAACATTAGTTAGCTGCATCATATTCATAATTTGATGGGCACATTTGTATGATAATATTACAATATGCGTTCAATTTCCAAATCAAAGTAAAAGAAAATATACTTTTTTGACGACATAAATTTTTAAATTACAATTTTTATTTTAATATTATTAATTTTATTATTTTATTATTATTTTAATACATAGCAAAACAAGCTTTTAAATGAATAATTAATTTCTAATAATTTTTAAGGATGAAAATTCGTTTAATCTGCCCTTATAAGATTATTTTGTATCAATATATTATTTATTCCTGATTTTTGCACCAAATTTATATAATTGTTTAAAATTCCATTCTTATTTCAAATGAAATTTGAAAATATATTTTAATGATTAATCGATATACGTTTATTAATATATAAAATTATTTTTTAATATGTAAATAAGAAAATATTTAATATTGAATGATATTTTATATTTTAAAGACAAGAATAGTAATAAAATATAAATAACTGCTACTAAAGATCTAGTGGAACTGAAACATTGTTTAATACATATCGATTAGTTAATATTTTAGTTTTAAAATTTCGACATTTGTATAATGAGTTTCAACTACAGTGTGTGTGTACATTATGTCTGACTATGTTCCGTAAAATATATGGAACGCATTAAAGGGAGAAAAAGAGACAGAAGATAATGATTATGGCTAGGGAGGACGAGTGGTAGGAAGAGTGAGAGAGTGAGAGAGAGAGAGACAGACAGACAGACAGACGGACAGACAGAGAAAGAATGTTTAAAATAGACACGCCGATCAGGGTGGCGTTGTATTCACCAGCGTGAGATAGTTCAAGCAGCTCGAAAAGAATGTTAATCGGTGTCGTGCTTACGTTTTGTGGAGATGCATCTTCGACCTTCGGCCTTCGGCTCATAACGGTACAAGTCTGTAACGCCATCGGGACTATCGAAGAGGCGACTGGTAAATGACTTACCTTAAAATAAAAGATAAAACAATTAATGCGAGAGAAAAGTAAATGCAGTAGCAGACGATTAACTACCTTCTTCGAACACGCCGACCTTGCTACTAGATGATTACTTATTTCTAATCTGCCCTATAAAATATGTAAATACATTACATACATCAATGTTTTTAAATTATGGTAATATATATATTTCACGTTATATTTTCAGATTTTCATAATTTTATTATTTAATGGGTTTCCTTAATCGTTAAAGCAATGTTTATTTGAACACAATTAATATTAATTTTCATAAAAAGAATGTTTGACAACTAATAGAAAGGATTATAGTAATTTCTATTAACAAAATACATCAACTATTATAAATATGATAAAACATTGTATATTTGACAATTATAAGAATTTATGTATCTGCAATAGTGTAAACATTTTTTTATATATTAAATAAATTATAATTATAATTAAATTTTGTAATAATTTAATAATTAAAATAAAATTGATTTTTAATCAAATATTTACTTATCATATAGCATTATTTATTTATATGGCATTTTACTTTAGCTCATGAATCGGGTTCTTATAAATAAATATGGAATAGATGTTTGAAGTAGAGAGTTGCAAAATCAGAAGTGCTATCCACATGAAGATGGAGCAATCGAACGCATCTGAGAGATAGTGCCGTATGTGATGGACTGAAATAGATGCTCAGCAGCGTTTCAGCAGTGCAGCAGCGTAGTCGCAAAACTAGTTTTTACCGTAAAGATCGAAGGAGTTGAGATAGGAGCTGCAAGTTCCGACGAGGGAGTAGCCACCGCCGCAGAAAACTCGTTATTCGAACTTCGAGAGATGCTTTACGCACGTTTGAAGAGAGAAACCTTCCGACCATTCTACAACCACTAGCACATTTAGCCTGCATGCGATATAAAAACAATGAGAGAGAGAGAGAGAGAGAGTGACAAAGAGGGGAGGAAGGTGAAGAGAGAAAGGAAGATTTGTTTAAATAAAAATAAATAATTCCCGCGCATAATAAAAGCGAATTGATACAAAGTAACTACTTGCATTTTGAGATACATACAAACTTTACAAACTATTAAAAAGTCTCTTTTCTACATTAATATAAATAATTAATATTTTCTTCGATTTCATTTTATTGTAATGCGCATAAATGAAGTGCAAGTTATTTTTTTTCGTATTTTGATAATCATATATATTTCATGTGGATAATTTTTTTTTTTCACACTGACAGTCCAACAATTATTGATATTATAGTTAGTAACGTAATAAAGAAATGTGATGTCTCTTTTTGAAGTTCCTATATAACTTCTATTATAAAAGAAAAAATATATTTTCCCTATAAAATAATCGTTAAATTCCTTTTATTCCAAATCAATTGATAGTGGAAAATGTTTCGTACCGCAGGTCAATGTTTAACAATGAATTGCAGTTTCATAAATCTTTTTCTTTATTCCTTATTCTAACACACATAAAAAGAGAACAGTACGTTTTTCTTATAATCTTACCGCCAGAAATAAAGCAGCAAATATCTCCGAGGGGATTGTGTGATAGTTTAGGGCAACGTCGAGAGTCGTAACGAGTGCATCATCAAAACAGCGGATTACCAATATCATTTAATAATGTTGCTTAACATCGAGTAATTTTAATGAAATCATAATTTAATGAAAATTAGAAAATTGATATATTACGAGGGTAAATGAAGAGGAACAAAAATAAAAGTTATGTAGTTTTACTTTCATGTCAGCATATAATGGCAAATATTTTTAACCAACTCAAAGGCAACTCAAAATTAAATTTGACTGGTGCTAAAAAATGTTATTATCTATTATATTAAAATGATTTAAAGGTAAAGCTGATTCATATATAACATATATTAATCATATTACACCATATATTAAGGTTTTACATATTTTTAAGAATCTACGTTAAAGTGTATTGAATAACGCGTATGAATTAATTTTTAAAATTTAAAATGTATTAAATAAAAAAGATTATCTTATGCAATTCTTTGTGTAATTGCCAGTAAATTGAAATTGTATTTGAATTTTATTTTACCATAACAAATCTTTTTTTCACGTATTTTACTTAAAATATAGCATTTTGATAACATTATTCTTAGTATAATTATAATTATATTCTACCTACGATTAAGAGAATATAATATCTGAACTAATGTCGTTTCTATACATAATGGATACTTTATATTAAATATTACACACACACATATATATATATATATATATATATATATATATATACAGACACACACTTGTTTTAAAAGGTATGAAATATCTAAATATCAGATAATTTATTCATAGTAAAGAAATGAACATTTTATTTGAAATTCGACTGAAATATATAATTATTCAATGGATGAACAACTTCGTATAATATTTTTAATCGTATGGTTTTATATATTATTTAAAAGCAATAAAAATACTTAATAAGTTAATTAATCAGGGAATCCAAGTAGATTATTGGTTATAATAAGAAATTCATGTAAAATAGTATCTATCCATTAGTGTAATCTCGATTTTTTAATGTCATGTTTACGAAAAAGGAATTAAAAAGAATTAAAGACCCAAAAATGTATTGCTAATTATTTTTATACAAGTTTCATTTCTCTACATACGACTTACTAAGGTCAATTTTGGAATAGAGGAAGGAAAAGACACATCGACACTACTGCTAGTCCAAGGTCAGATAATCTTTTCCAAGTCTTAGCTCGCTTTCGCTCACTCAAGGAAACTTAAGGAAACGTACTTATATATACGGCGCTAAAGCGCTTAGACTGTATCTTGTGTGTAGAGTTATATACTCTATACCTATATACAAGTACATACAAGTTGGACGAGTTGAAGGAGTCGGAGGAATCGTGGAGTCGGGCAAATGGCAGTAGGGGTAAGGGGAAGGAAAAAGTACCTTGAACTCACGCTACGCGTTTCTACTCTCTGCAATCCTCGTGGTATTGACCTGCGCGGGCGTTTTTCTGCGGAAAAACGTTTCGTTTTAGTGCGTGTGGCTGTTGTGCTTGGATATTCTCAATTTTTTCATTATGACAAAGTTCCACAATTTTATTAATTTATTTACTTCTTTATTTTCTGGATTACTTATTTAGTCATTTGCTTAGTTGTACAGTTTTGTACTTAATCACAAATGTCATCTTTAATAATTTATCACAAGTACGTCTTAATAATGGCCAATTTACTCAATTTAATTTAACGTATAAGTTTTGTTTCCATTACTGTAAAAATAATTATGTACCTTAGTACTTTGACGTTTATTTCAATTCGAATAAATTTTTAGGCACTGATTTACAATTCTATAATTTACAATGCTATTTATTTTTAACTTAATTATCACATAAGGAATTTACATTGAAATATATAAAATACTTTAAAAAAAAAATATTTATAAGATTTTTTTTTTAAGAAAAGAAGTGGTTGTACTTTTTTATTAATTATATTTAATTGATATATTCAAATGTAAATATGATCAAATTTGAACGTTAGATAATTATTTTTACATTACACTTAAGACACAAAAGTAAATATATTTAAGTAAATAAATATTAAAAAAATTCACTATCTACATTTAGAATCTTACAATTATATAGATCGAATTGATTTATACAGGTATTATACAGCTGAATTTACTATGTTTCATATACAATATTTTTATAAAATTTTTAATTTCATTTAAAAGTGAAGTTACATAAATTTTAATTAAGATTAAATGTATGTTTAACATTTTCATAATTGATGAAATATTAAGAGAAAAAAATTAATCACAACATATAAGAATAAATTATAATAATAATATTGTAAAAGTGTGTAATGTTGATAATACTGTTAATAAAAGTTAAGAAACGAATAATAAAACAAAAATCCTCTAACCAACAAATAATCATTCAATAATTTATAATTATATCATTTTATTACAATAAGGATTAATTTAATGAATGACTATTTACATCTTGGAAAATTGTATTAAAAAAATTTTTGTTCAAAAAAACTACTTTTAAGGATAGTTGAAATAATTTGTTACATTATACTATTGAAAGTTTTTTTTTAAATAGAACAGAATTGAAGAACAATTGACATTAAAATCGTTAAAAAATATAGAATATTTGAAAAAAAGCCGTGTTTAATCAATAAAGACATGAAATACATATTACGTCATATACGTCCATACAAAATTTCTTTTAATTATCTTGTAAATATTCGAAAGAATTTGATTTAATCTATGAAAAATTATACAAATTTTACAGAGAGAGAGAGAGAGAGAGAGAGAGAGAGAGAGAGAGGAGAGAGAGAGAGAGTGTGTGTGTGTGTGTGTGTGTGAAAGAGAGAGACATGCAACAGAAAAATAGAAAAGAATATTGAAGAAAGGAACGTTGAAATGGTAATATTCAGTGGTGATAACGGCGTTGGCGACGATATCGATGTGGATATGACGATGACTAATAGGAAAATAGTTTACAATCAATAGACCAACAAAGTTTCTAGAATTATGGCCAATATCGGCGATTTATTTATCTTCTCAATTCGATAAAATTGAAAATACTGGCAATACTATAACATTTTTTTAATAATTATTATCATATCTATTGTATTACCTAATAATTTTTATAAATATTTGTAATAATTCTATTGTGAGTCTTTGGCATATTATGCAATATTTAAGCATATTTTATAGTGATAAAAGGTGAACAAAAGACGAAAAAAAATTTTTTTCGAGTTATTTATGAAGTATTTTAAATTGCATTCTATGTCTTTCTTAGAGTTTCGTTATGCATTATACAATTGTATAATCTTTGCAATATCTTTTTACAAATACATAAGACTATATAATATTTGAGGAAATTAAGTTCTGCCATTTATGGCGTTAGCATATTATTATTGTAATTTCGTAGGTTACAAGTAATAAAAGTATTAAAAGTATTTAAAAATAGTTGGAAAAAAAAATTTTTTAACTAGATGGAATGAAGAAACAATTATAATAAGTATTTTTGCTTTTTAACTTGTGGAAAATATTCTTCTGATTGCGTTTTAGATATATTATTTGTAACTCATTTAAAGTCTCGTTATAAATTGACGAAAATTTATGACAATTGC